CCCCCCACCAAGCCACACCCACAGAACCGGTAGTAACAAATTTTAGATTTCACCCCTGCTCTAAACTGATGACATGTTTAACCCAGCCGCCCAACTCTGCCTCTCTTCCCCTACAGAATGTTACCTTTGTCCAACCTCCTTAACTACTCTTTTATCTACCAGGAAGCTTCTCTAAGCATTGAGCTATGATCCATTATGGACTTTTAACTAAGTTTAGGATTCCCTGTCCAGACAACCTGTCCATACTTTGACCAGATGTGAGGCAATTTGATCAAGAGTAGGTGGGTGATGCAGAACGAAATATTTTACAAGAAACGATGCCTGCATGATTAGATACGAAGAGAGAAAAAAACCACTAAGCAAAGACAGATCCTTCTTGGGACCATGGCCAGAATAACATCCAGAAGGAAGCAGATGTGATGCAAAGATCAGTGCGCCAGCCAAATGTTAGTTACTGCCTAAGAGCATACTTGAATTTCTGTGGGGGGAAAAAAGTGGAACATTTTCACAAACTCTAAAAAGGTTATATAAGCAGGCATGTTAGCAGAACTGTGATACTTGTACTACTTATATTGTAAAAATAAGTCATTTACAGAACCAATAAAGAGAGAGCTAGTGGAGCTAAATATATATATATATATATATATATATATATATATAGTGCCAAAATGAGAATCCTTCTTGGAGGTGATGTCTGTTTAGATGAAACATTTAAATTATGCATATGCTTTGCTGTTGTAACATCCATCACCCCCCCCCCCACTCTTTTGGCAAAAGTTAGTGTAACAGAACAAAACAGATTACACATAGACATGGATACAATACATGGGCTTATTGAAACATTGCACCCCATTTAATTTACTGTTTCAATTCTGTGAGGAATTCCATTTTTCATTTTCCTTTCCCACTTAAATGTTCTCTGAAGGTGCAAAGGTTGTAGAGATAAGCAGATGTAAAGGAATCCTACAGCTCTTTTGTTTTCCACCGCTCCCTTTTGCCATTTGTTTTCTTGATTCATTTGCAGTTTCCTTTGAGAAATATCATGGAAAATTCTCCCCCCCCTTCTGGTCTGTCCAGCTCTTGTGGGGATAGCAGCACAAGAGGCTGACTGGGATGGAGAAAAAATATATTGCGGCTCATCAGCATAACTCAAGAAGCAGCTCTTCTGTTGACTTCCATTACAATTTGGTCTGTAGGGTTGCAAGAATATCACATGCCTTAAGCAGAAGGCCACAGGAATTTGGTCTCCCATAGTTAATTCTTAGGACTGTAATAATGAAGTTTTGCTTCCCAGAGAAAAGACAGATTCCATAAACCTACCCAACCAAAAAATAAAGCATGCATTCCTCCTCCTCCTCTTCCATTGTGATGAAGGAAGCCACAGAATCACTTGAAAGTGAGACGGGCAGCATATAAATTTAATAAACAAAGATAGAAGAAAAACACAAAAATCTTACTGCAAACCCTCTGGTCAAGGTAGACAGAGTTGGGTCAGAATAACTGTTCTTTTTTAAAAAACCAACTTTGACTTGTCACTCCTTTTTAAATTTTATTTCTCATTGACTCCCAAAGAGTTTAGTGATGCAGCAGGAGCAAATGAATAGTTGGTGCTACTTCTCTCTATGGCTGAAGAACCTTCCTAGAGAAGCCCTTTTTCCCCCAACCAAATCTTGCAGTCCTCTTCAGTTGCCTGCCACATAGCCCCAGATTAACTGAATAAAAGAGTTGGAAAGGACCTTGGAGGTCTCCTAGTCTAGGAGTCCCCAACCCAGGGCCGCAGCCTATTTGGAATTGGTCCACACGAGTGGCTGACAACTTTACTAGTACCTTCTGCCTAGGTCTGAGACAGGTCACTGGCTCAAGATCATGAAGACAGCTCTATAGTCAAAGCAAGACTAGAACTCAGTCTCCTGATTTCTAATCCAGCCTTAACTATTGGACCAAACCGACTCTTATAGGTAGCAGAAAGAAATGCCAATCTGGAGTTATTTGAATGCTTCCATAACTCCTGATATGCTCATCCTTGAATCTAGTAGTTACTCTAGCTGTGACTTGGCAACATGTTTTATTACAAGCCTGGGAACTCCAAACTACTTCCCAGGTTTTGCCCTTCCTACACTTAAATCCCTTCCATATAGAGACAAGTTCAAGGCCACCCTAAGGTTTTTTTGTAGCCCGCTGAGAAAAATAACAAGATGAAGCCAATATAATCTACACAAACCATAATGACACCAAGCTGATGACATTTGCAATGTTTTTTTTTTTTTTTTTAATTTGATTTATATGCCGCCCTTCTCCGAAGACTCAGGGCGGCTTACAATGTGCTCAGCAATAGCCTTCATCCTTTTGTATATTTATACAAAGTCAGCTTATTGCCCCCACAAACTGGGTCCTCATTTCACCTACCTTATGTGATGTCTTCACAGGAATGCTGCCCTTGCATACTTCCATCCTGATGTCTGGCACAAATACAAAAGTTGTGATGTTTCCACTGTGCCATTCTGCACATTTTTCATTTGCTTCCCTGGCCTGCCACTCATTCAATGGATGCGTGGATTTTCCTGATTCTTTGTAACAAGACAATTTTCCTGATTCTTTGTAACAAGACAAAGGCGTCAGGAGGTCAACTCTTACATCATCAATATTGACAATAGGAAGGTGTCCAGTGCCACACAATAAGATAGTCTTGAGGAGTGATTTTTCAAACTTGGCAACTTTAAGATGTGTGGACTTCATACAAAAGTATGAAGGCTATTGCTTAACGCATTGTAAGCCGCCCTGAGTCTCTGGAAAAGGGCGGCATATAAATCAAACCAATAAATAAATAAACTCCTAGAATGCCTTGTTATGATCATGCTGGCTGGGGAAATCTGGGAATTCACACATCTTAAAGCTGCCAAATTGAAAAACACTGGGTTAGAGGGTGAAAGCCAAGCTGTCTAGCAAATGCCTCTTTGCTCTTCCAAATATCTTGAAGGCATCATTGTAATGTAATGTCCTTTATGTCAGTATGAGGCGGCAATTTCCTCAGCTATTGTACAACACTGGAAAAATTTCCTCTCATCTATAGGTCAGCCCATTAATAGGCTTATGTTATATATTCCCTACTGTGTAAATGATACTTGAGGACTACCATTACAATTTTTACCCTTCTTACCAGGAATGATTTTAGCATGAATGAATAGTTGGTTCTACTCTCACTGTGCAAGACGTTACCCTTCTGATAAGATGTTGTTCTGCTGCTTAGTACAGGGAAACATGAAGGGAAGTGTGAGGAAATAAGTTTTGTAGTCTTCAAATTCCCAATGTTTAGTCTTAAAATTGCATATAAAGTCCATGACCGAAGACATTGCATTGATTAATAATGAACCTGGCTCAGATTCATGTACTATCTGATGTTCTAATGAAAAGGAAACTTGAGGAGGAGGAGGGGGGGAGGAGGATGGGTTTTTGAATATATCAACACCAAGGCTGAGAGTAATGATCTGCTCCATAATTTTCCTTCAATTGCATCCACCACAATGTTGTCCAGACACTTCATAAACATTAGTAACTTATCGTTCTTGTACAAGATGGACGAGAAGAAATAATAGGGAAGTGAATGGATAAATAAAAGCCTTAAAACCTGATATCTATCTATCTATCTATCTATCTATCTATCTATCTATCTATCCACACCTTCTTTTGGGCCCCACCTTAGAGCTTCCTGTCCTGTGAAAGAAATGTATTCGGATTGGTTGTCAGACTCCCATGGGGCCATGCAGGGGTAACTTTGTAGGTTGTCTTGAGTCCCAAACTTGGTTGAATCTTGCTGGGTGATGTAATCTTCCCAGCAAGATTCTGTGGTGAGATGGGTAGAGTGCTAATCCTATTAAGTCCTAAGGGTGTAGGTAAACTGGCCCAGCCTTTTGTCTTGTACATAGTATGGCCCAGTCTTTCTGGAGCTATTAACAAAGGTGGGGGCTGCTTTCCAAGATCATGTATCTCCTTTTCTCATCCAGGGCGGTATAATATTCTGCCTTTTTAATATTTCCTAGAATATTTCATTTTTCTAGGAGAAGGGTGGTTGCTAACTTTCTACACCTTAATAATTCCCAATCCTTCTGCCAATTCAGTTCTGATCACACCCCTTTTTGTAGTGTGCCATCAACATTAGGATTAGCCATCCAGATTTTGGGGGAAAAAGTCTAGTTAAACTTGATGTGGACCCTGAGCTAACCGAAAATTGTATTATTTTTGGTTTAGCAGTATGTTTAATTATATTCCATATGCAAAATCTAGCCTTCTCTAGCCCTTCAAACCTGGAAACTTTTAGTTTACTATAACTTAAAGGGTGATAGTAAAAATTACTATAGCCTACGTATTTGAATTTGCTAAAGAACCAAAATCACAGGGGTACAGGACCTTAAGAAGAAAACAAAACAAGTCAACAACCACGATTAAAACAAGTCAGAACTTTGGCCTAGAAATTTAGCAGGTTCTTCTTGTTTTACAGAGTACTTTGCAAGGTTGTTGTATGGATAAAAGTTTGGGCCTGTTATGTTGTCCTTTAAAAGAGGAGCAATCCAAATGCAACGAAATGAATTCCGAAAACAGAACAGAAAAAGGGAACATCGTGTCCCTTGGTGTACTTTTTTGCCTTTCACATTTTTAAAAACTTTTGCCTTCAGACCTACGACTTTCCTCGCCTGCAGCCTCTCAATTAACACGGCAAGGAAACCTCCTCCGCTTAGCAGAGCCATTGCTTTGGACGGCTGGTCTCTTTTGGTTGACTTTGCGATGGAGAGATTCCCCAGTGATCACATCATCGTAGATCGATCGATCGATCGATCGATTTCTGGGCGATTCTTGTCCCCAAAGGAACCCGTCGCCGCCGAGCGATCTGTTCCTGCGTCTTGTTTCGTTTACTTGACTTCACTTGAATCCACGGAGGTTGCAATGGCGCTACCGGCCAGCAGGAGGAGACAGGAGGCCGCCGAGGCAGCCCTGAGGAGAGAAGCGGGGGAAAAGGCGATGAAGAGAAGGGGCGAGCGAAGACGGCAACGGAGGCGAGGCTGATCTCTGCGAGTGGGGAAACCAGAGGGGGAAGCGCGGAGGAAGAGCGCGGTCTGTGCACCGGCCCGTCGGCGTCAACTCCCAGCCACCTTCTGCGGACACCGCTTCCTAACCTCCCCCGTTTGGCAGCTTTCAAGGCGCCCCTTGGCCCCTTGCGCCCACCGGCTCCATGGCTGCTTCGGCTTCACGGATCTTTTTGCTGACCGTCGGGACGCTTCTGGTGCTCCTCGTTGCCTTGCTCCACTCTGCCTCCCCAGGTACAGTCCCCGCTTCAATTCTCTCGACGGCGCCCTTTTGGAGAGGGAGGGAACTTGGGAGCCCCCTGGGGTAGTTTGTGGGACGTTTTTTTCTCTCTCTCTTTCCTCCTCCCCTCCGGTTGAATTCCTCAGCATGGCACCCCAGGATGCGTGGGACTACAGTGCCAATGCTCCCCAGCTGGCTATGTTGGCCAAAGGAGGACGGGAGTGGTGTATCTGGAGGGCCGGCGCTCAAGACAGTCGCACTTCCACCCTAGGAATATACCTTGCGTGAGAAATGTCGCGCTTCCCAATTCTTACCACCCTCTCTTACTCCGCAACGCTCTTATCTCCACCTGCTTTGGGGGGTCTTGTCAGCCAATTGGAATTCCTGGGGGGGGGGGGGGCTAATTTGTGTGTGCGGGGGTTTGTGGGGGGGGGGGGGCATCCCATAGAATGAACATGCAAAAGTGATTGGCCAGCATTGTCTTCTTTTTCTTTTAAAAGGGGATTGATAAGAGCATGGCTCTCCATAAAGTTTTTGTTTTTTTTAAAAGAAAACCTCCTTAGGAATGCAATGGAGCAGGGGTCTCCAACCTTGGCAACTTTAAGCCTGGAGGACTTCAACTCCCAGAATTCCCCAGCCAGCAAAGGTTTGCTGGCTGGGGAATTCTGGGAGTTGAAGTCCGCCAGGCTTAAAGTTGCCAAGGTTGGAGACCCCTGCAATGGAGCTAATGTTTATTTGTGTACATGGGATCACAGCTTAATACACACGCACACACAAACTACACACACATTCTCACTTCTCCAAAGCTCAGATCTCCACCTCTGTAATCCTTCCACGTCTGTTTTAGTTGTGCCAGTCCCAACAGAGATGCCAAACCTGACCCAGTTGTTCCTAAGTGTAAAGCAAACACAAAATACAAACTCTTCCAAGAGGAACTCAGGGAAGGTTCTGAGCTGTTTATAATGTAAAGGTTGCAATTCAGGGATAGCATTCCTCAGCGAGTCCTGCAGGGTAGATTTGCAGTAACTGTGCATAGGCTAACTCCAGAAGAGAAATGCTTCGTGATTGGAATTAAGATTTGAAGGAAAAAATAATAATAATAATGAAACAGTGAGGAGTGACTGAGGGAGAACTTGCCACGCATGCTGTTGGAGAGGATTTCCAGGGTCTGGATTGTTTTCCCCTGCTCAGAATGTTCCCCCTATCATTTTTTAAAATAAAATTACGTATCATTGGTACATGTCATTGGAAAAAATTGTCTAGAATGTGTAAAGATACTTCAAAGTTGTATTGGAAGTTTAGCCAGCAAGAAAGATCTTTTATCATGTTTGGTGGATGTGCAAAAGAGCTAGAAAGGTTTGGATACGATTACAGACATTAATTCAGAAGATTTTTAAGAGGTATATACAACTGAAACTAGCGGCTTTTCTTTTGGGATTGATTGATAAACCAGTTCATGGAACTTCGTTTTTATATATGACTCCTGCAACAAGACTATTATAAGGACAAAGGAGATAAGATTTAATACTACCCACGATGGAGGAATGGATGGCAACTCTGATCAGAGAAAAGACATTATCTAAGTTTAATGCTGACTGGAAACCCCTACAGACTTTGTGTGAAAAGAGGGGGAGAGGGAAATGAAATTGTGACATATGGTTTTAATGACTTGGGGAAAAAATAGATTGTAGAAAAAGTCATGTTGTAACCATGAGTAAGAAGTTAATTTATAATTGTTGTAAAGAAAATCAAAATCCTATTTTTCCTTCCTTCCTTCCTTCCTTCCTTCCTTCCTTCCTTCCCCCCTTCTTCCTCCCCTCCCTCCTTCCTTCCTCCCTCTCTCCCTCCCTCCCCTCCCTCCCTTCTCCCTCCTTCATTCCCCTTTTCACTTTGTCTTTTTCTTTCTTTTCCTCACTTTTTTCCTCTAGTATATAGTTCTTGCTAGTTTTTTAAAAATAAAGTTATATGTATAAGAAAAGAATGTTCCCCACCTCCCACTCTTTTTTTTTCTATTTTTGATCCTTTTGATCTGTATATTAAAAAAAAAAAAAAAAGCATGTACTTTTCTCTTGCAGGGAGGGCAGAAATGGTAAGTAGCTGTATATGCCCATACAAGTTGAGCTGGGAGTAAAGTACAGGAATTCCTAGTGCATATTTGCCCACAGGGCCAGTTCCTTGCCACGATATGATGATAGGGTTGTTAAGGTAGGGGCTAAATCCTAAGCAAAACAGAGTGCTTGGAAGCAAATCCCTTGAGAATCAAGGAAACATCAACTTGAGAAAATACAGTAAGTTCATGATGTCAGGTTGGAAAGTTGAAACAAAAATGAATGGGCCTTGTTGAGTGGTTTCTCCTTTCCCAGGTTTTGAATATCAGCTATTTCATGGTGGTTAAAAAAATGCACTGTGAAGTATCTTTCATATGGCATAAATTGTGTCAATACAACTGTGGTTGTTTCCAGCAAGATGCCTTAGATCATAAAGGTAGGTGTGGCAATTCCTGAAGAGTTCCCACTGCATTTTTTTTCCCGGGGCTCTTCTGTTTCTTTTGGAAAAACAACAACATTGCAGGACAGTGGCTTCCAGGGAGTGGCTGCTGGAACAGCCTAACATACAGTAATATGGAATGTCCTGTCCAGAAATTCCACAGTTAAAGCACCTGCAACTCACTCAGAGGCCATTTATTGGTTCTCAGAGCATATATATATGTATTTCTTCACATTATTCTTCGATCTGTATATGTTTGGTCTTTGTCCAAAGTCTCGTGGTGAACCTCAGCTTCGTTCCGTTAACCCAGTTACAACAACTGGATGCACAGATCAGAGAATAATGTAGACAAAACCAATTGGATGAGCAGGGATTTTATTTTATTTTTTTTGTCTTTGCTGTTGTATAGAAACAGTCACAAGCTATTGAAGGTGTTGGTTACCACCTTTAAAGTGCTCCATGGCATAGGACCTAGTTATCTTCGAGACCGCCTGCTGCTACCGATGACCTCCCAGTGACCCGTGCGCTCCCACAGAGAGGGCTTCCTCGGGGTGCCATCAGCCAAACAATGTAGGCTGGTGACTCCCAGGAGGAGGGCCTTCTCTGTGGGGGCACCTACCCTCTGGAATCAGCTGCCCCCAGAGATAAGGAGAATCCAAGACCTCGGTGCCTTCCGCTGTGCCCTTAAAACTTTCTTTTTTCAGCAAGCTGGGCTGGCTTAACATATTTTTTAACATATTTTTAAATATTTTTTAATTGGTTTGTTATCTTAAATTGGGGCCAAATTAATATATATCCTTTTAATTGTTTTTAATGTTTGTATTGTATGCTTTTATCTGGCTGTACACCGCCCTGAGTCCCTCAGGAGAAGGTGCGGTATATAAATTCGAAATAAAATAAATAAAAATAAAATAAAGGTGGAACAGCCTGGGATAATATAATTGCTGGCTCTATTCTGTTCAGTTCCAGATCAGTTCTAAATGAACTTGTTATAGGTCAGGGGTGTCAAACTCAAGGCCCGTGGCTGGATCCGGCCCATTGGGTGCTTAGATCTGCCCCACGAGGCTGCCCTGGAAACGGTGAAGGACTGGCTGACAGTGCCTCTGCCAGCAAAAATGGAGCTGGGGAGGACCATGCACTGCCCTCCCGAGCTCCGTTTTCACTGGCAGAGGGCTGCAGGAGGCCGTCACAGCCGAAAAACCAGGCCACCATAGGCGCCCCCAACACGAGTGATGTTGAGCTGCCATACCCACTGCAGCCATGCTTACCACAGCCACACAACCCCCCCCCCCAAGGTCAAACACAACCTGATGCGGCCCTCGATGAAATCGAGTTTGACACCCCTGTTATAGGTAATCTTCGATTTACAACTGGTTGCTTAGCAACCATTTGAAGTTATGACCTATCTAAAAAAGGGGACTTACGATCTGGATCCGAAGTTTCAATGGGCGCCCCTCCCCTGTAATCATATAACTGCACTTTGGGCTCTCAGCAACATGGCTACATTTGTGTGTTGCATCCTGTAGTAATGTGACCAAGTTTTATAACCCAACAGCATTATGCAAAACTGGCAAGTTGTTTCTGGTTTTTGGCAAAAACTGTGCCCATTGTGATCCATTGATTTGCTTAACACCTGCTGCATTTGCTTAACGACTGCCGCAGAAAATGTAAAATTGTGACTGCCCCGTTTGTTTGACTGTTAACAATTTACAATGGTAATGGGAGGGCTCTATTACAGTCATAATCCAAAGACTCCCTGTACAGGTAGTCCTCAACGTACGACCATAATTGAGCCCAAAATATATGTTGTTCAGTGAAAAATTTGTTAAGTGAATTTGTCCCCTTTTACAACTTTTCTTGCCACATTAGTTAAGTGAATCACTGCAGTCATTAAATTAGTAACACGGTTGTTAAGTGAATCTGGCTTCCCTATTCACTTTGCTGGTCAGAAGGCTGCAAAAATGACTCCTGAACACTGCAACTGTCATAAATAGGAGTCAGTTGTCAAGCATCTGAATATAAATCACCTGACTGTTGGGATGCTGCAATGGTCATAAGTGTGAAAAACGATCCTAAGTTACTATTTTCAGTGTCGTCGTAACTTTGAACAGTAACTAAATGAACTGTTGCAAGTCAACAAATACCTGTATGCGCTTGGAAAGAATTCTAGAATTTCAGAAATCTGGAATTTAGTTAAAGGACATCCGCATTAATAATCATTGTTTATATTTACCGTGACATTTTTCACCTGAAAAATCTATCTTGGTCTCATCTTTCCTTGCCAGCTGCCTTCCAGAGTTGTAAGTCTCACATTTAGAACAATGCTTAGCCATGTTAACCAGGAATGATGAGATAATAGTCCAGCACATCTGTAAGGCCAGTCTACAGTCAGAAGGATAACAGTGCAATCTTATACAGGTAGTTTTCAACTTGGAACAGTTCATTTAGTGACCATTCGTATTTACAACAGAACTGAAAAAGTGACTTGTGACCATTTTTCACACTTATGACCATTGCAGCATCCCTA